ACCTATGCAGCTGCTGCGCGCGCCGGCGTGGGGCCTGCAGGGAGCTGATGTTGAACCCAGATCGGTTGCCAGCCCGCACAGAGGTCGCGGAAGAGAATGGCTCCAGCGTGAGGACCATGTTGCAATTCAGCGTTCTGGGAGCGCAGTGGAGGCTGCAGCTGGCCAAATATGCTGCCACCAGGCAATGCACGAGCTCTTTGCAATTGCAAGGCGTGGCGATTGCAATGCAAGAGTGCTGTTGCGCAGAGTGGCTGGCAGCAGGCCCAGCAGCGTGTTTCTTATAAGACCAATTCTCCTGTTCTCTGACACCCCGACACCCGCCTGAGTCTAGGCACACGCCACCTGAGTGCAGGCACACACATGCAAGGGCACATGCTTGTGCTGACGGCGGTGGGGCTGCGCTGCGGCCCTGCCAGCAGCCTGCGCTTGGCCGGGACGGCATGCGGACGGCGATGCCAACGCAGCGCAATGCATGCAGCGGCCGCAGCGGCGGCGCCCAAGGGCCCGCCCGCCGCCGCTCCCGCCCGCAAGCAGCAGCAGCACTCTGACCAGCCCCGCAAGCAGCCTCAGCAGCAGGAGCAGCCTCAGCCACGGGAAGAGGAGCAGCAGGGTGAAGGGCAGTCGCTGCTGCCGCGCGTGGTGCTCAAGGGCGGCAAGTCCAAGCTGTTTGCGGAGCAGCAGCAGCCCATGGTGTACTCGGGCGCTGTGGACCGGGTGCTGGGGCGCCCCGCCCCCAAGGCCGGCGATGCTGTGCTGGTGTGCGACGGCAGCGAGAAGACGATCGGATGGGGCGTGTTCAACCCCAGCAGCATGTTCCGCGTCAGGTGAGGCGGAGGCAGAGCGCTCCAGCCGCCTGCTGCCCAGCTCCAGCCCTGCGCTGCCGCCTCCTCTGCTCTGCTCTGCTGCCTGCTCCCACACCTGCGGCGCTGCTGCCGCGGCGCGCTGCTGCCCCGCAGGATGATGCAGACAGCGGACGAGGTGTTTGGCGGCGGCGCCCTGCAGCAGCGCCCCGACCTCCACGCCCTGGTCGGCGCCCGCATCCAGCAGGCGGTGCGCCTGCGTGCCGCGCTGGGCCTCCGCTGCGGCCCTGCCCCAGCAGCAGCGGCAGCCGGGGCGCGGCAGGGCGGCGGCGCCACTACCGTGTTCCGCCTGGTCAACAGCGAGGGCGACCGCCTTTCGGGGCTGATTGTAGATGTGCTGGGGGAGCACCTGGTGGTGGCGTCCTCGGGTGCGGCGGTTGGGAGCCGCACAGTTCATGTGTGTTG